GTTAAGTGTTTGCGTTTAGGGCCTTTGCGGTTTGGGGCTCAGGGTTTCAGGGTTTGGGGTTTAGGGTCTGCCTTTGCTGTTTTTGTCCTGGCCCCCGCTTGGGTCTGTCTCAAACTTGCTGTCCTCCGCGGGTTCTACCTAGATGCCCCCGCTGTGCATAATTTGTGCAACAACGGGATGAACCCTAAACCCTAAACCCTAAACCCTAAACCCTAAACCCTAAACCCTAAACCCTAAACCCTAAACCCTAAAACCCTAAAACCCCAAAACCCCAAACCCCAAACCCCAAACCCCAAACCCCAAACCCTAAACCCTAAACCCTAAACCCTAAACTCTAAACCCTAAACCCTTCCAGCTCCAAGACGCGCCAGCAAAAAGGAGCTGAGCATCCTCACGGGGCAGGTGGACGTGCTGAGCCCCAGTGGTGCGTTGATCTTACGCCTTTGAGCGTTAGGGCTTCAGGGCTGCTGGGTGTAGGGTTTAGGGTTTAGGGTTTAGGGTTTAGGGTTTAGGGTTTAGGGTTCAAGTCTTGAAGGTTGAGGGTTGAGTGTTGAGGGGCTGAGGGGTTGAGGGTTTGGGTTTCTGGGTTGAGGAGGTTGAGGATGGAGGAGTCTGCGGGTTGCTAGTTGTTTCCGAGTAGGGTTGAGGCCCTAGGGACTTCGGCTTTCGGGTTTCGGGTTTTGGGTTTGAGGTTTGGTTTAGGAGTATATCAAGCTGAAGAGCTCCCAATCCACTCCGCAATAAAGATCAAGCAGCCAAGATCAGGCAGGCTTTCCTCAAACCTCTCATCCTAAGCCCTCAGCTAAAGCCTAAACCCTAAACCCTAAACCTTAAACCCTAAACCCTAAACCCTATACCCCTAACCCCTAAACCCCAAACCCTAAACCCTAAACCCTATACCCCTAACCCCTAAACCCTAAACCCCAAACCCTCTAGAGCCCTCAGTCCTCACCGGCCTCCTACAGAGGCCTGCACTGCCGAGATCGCCGATGCCATCCGGCGCGCCGATGTGCTTCCGCCCAGCCTTTCTCGGATTGTTGGGGGGTCTGGTTTAGGGTTTAGGGTTTAAGGGTTTAGGGTTTAGGGTTTAGGCTAGGGTTTAGAGGCTTGGGGTTTAGGTTTAGGCACATGGATTTGTGGGTTTAGGGTTTCGTGGTTTGGGTCCTTAGGGTTTAAGGTCGAGGGATCCGGAGGGTTTCAGGCAGGGCCAGTTCAGGGTTTCGGGTTTAGGGGGTCAACAACACGAAGCGAGAACAAGCTAAGACCCAAACTCCAGACCCGCATGCCTGAACCCTCAACCTCAAACCCTACACCTCCCGAGCCTCCGGCTTCTGAAATCGCGGGCCCGAGGCTGTAAACCCTAAACCCTAAACCCTAAACCCAAAACCCCAAACCGCAAACCCTAAAGCCTAAACTAACGCAAGCCAAAGGCAACCATCCTAAGCAGACATCCCCACAGCCCTGAGCCCTTAGGACCCGAATTCTCGGCAACTACCAGTATTATTCCGCACAGTCAGGATACAAAAACTTATCCACTGCCCGAAGCCCTGAACCCCTTCAGCCCTAAGCCCTAAACCCTGAACCCGAAACCCTGAGCCCTAAACCCTGAGCCCTAAACCCTGAACCCTAAACCCAAAACTCCCAAACCCCTAAACCCCAAACCCGACACCCCAAACCCCAAACCCCGAAAACCCCCAAACGAGCTCTGGAGCCTTGCAGCCTCAAAGGTGCTTCTGCTCTGCACTGGGGCGGGCTTCTCAGCCGACTCGGGGCTGGCCACCTACGAGGAGCCTGGAGCCCTAAACCCAAAACTCCCTAAACCCTAAACCCTAAACCCTAAACCCCAAACCCTAAACCTTAAACCTAAACCCTAAACCCTAAACCCCAAACCCTAAACCCCAAATCCAAACCCTGACCTACGTAGACCCTCAACCTTAGACGCCTGGAGCCCAAGCCGCAGGACGTCGCCGGTGTGAAGGCTTACCAGGACGGGTGTGGTGTTTAGGGTTTAGGGTTTATATAGGGTTTAGGGTTTAGGGTTTGGAGTTTGGGGTTCAGGGCTTTTGTTGGGTCTTGAGGGTCTTGTTAGATTTAGGGATTTAGGGGTCTTGGGGTTCAGGGACTAGGACGTAACTCTTAAACTCTAAACGCTCAACCCTGAATCAAAGGGCTTAGGGTCGAGGGATGTGGGGGGTAGGGTTTAGGGTTTAGGGTTTAGAGTTTAGGGTTTAGGGTTTAGGGTTTAGGGTTTAGGGTTTCTCTGTGCAGGCTTTTCCAGCTGAAGGGTTGTAACGATCTTGTCATTCTTATGTTGGTTGGGGCTGCGGATGTTGCTGCTTTGAGGCATTTGATCTCTCTTTCTCGCTTGCTCTCTTGCTCTGGCTTTTCATTTTTCTCTTTTTTTTTTTTTTTTCTCTCTCTCTCTCTCTCTCTTTCTCTTTCTTTTTGTCTCTCTTTTTGTCTCTCTTTTTGTTTCTCTTTTTGTTTCTCTTCTCACTCTATCTTTCTCTATGTCTCTCTATTTCTCTATCTTTTTCTCTCTCTCTCTCTCTTTCTTTCTCTTTCTCTCTCTCCTCTTTCTCTTTCTCTCTCTCTCTCTCCCCCCCCTCTCTCTCTCCTCTCTCTCTCTCCCTCTCGCCCTCTCTCACTCTCTCACTCTCTCTCTCTCTCTCTCTCTCTCTCTCTCTCTCCCTCTTGCTTGCCTCCGAAACCGTGAGCCCTGAGCTGCTGGGTTGAGGATGTGGTCCCCCCAGAAGTCGAATCACCCACCCTTACTCTTCGGAAAAGTAGCGAACCCCAAGCCCGAAATCCTAAACCCCGTTCGGAAGGATCTCGGGTACAAGTACCACAACATCTGCCGGTGGCGTGGGCTGTTATTGAGATTCTCCGCACAAGTTGCTTGTTTGGCGGTGCAGGGCTTGACAATTTGAGGACCCGAAGACCCTGCCCAAGCTCCAGCTAGCAGCTTCCAAAAATCGGGGTCCTCCTTTATACCCCTAAACCCTAAACCCTAAACCCTGAACCCAAAACCCTAAACCCCTATTCCTTAACCCTAAACCCTAAACCCCATGTGTGGCGTGCCTGAAAGCTATACCCTGAAGCATCTCGACAGAGACCATGCTGGAAGTGCCGACTCCATCCTCTGAGGAAGGAGAAGCAAACCTTCTGAGGCTGGGAACACAAGCCCTAAACCCTAAACCCTAAACCCTAAACCCTAAACCCTAAACCCTAAACCCTAAACCCTAAACCCTAAACCCTGCACCCTAAACCCTAAGCAGCACGTGGGTTGCGGCTACCAGGCCGCTCGGGCAACCGAGCGAGCAGAACGCCCCAAAGAGTGACAGCTAAAGGAAGAAGAAGGCGCCAGACCACACTAGGAGGGTTTAGGGTTTAGGGTTTAGGGTTTAGGGTTTAGGGTTTAGGGTTTAGGGTTTAGGGTTCCTTTGTCATCCTTTGTCTACACGGATCCACAACAGGGACCACTGTGTTGCGATGGTCTTACGGCTGCGGGCGGCGGAGGGTCGGGCGTTCTCACGCTCAAGGGTGATGGCCAAGGCTTGCGCATCAACTTCCTGGGGCTCTATTTGCCTACAGCTGAGTAGGAACTACCCCTTGCTTCGCAGGCAGAAGCCATAAGACTGCCCTAAACCCTAAACCCTAAACCCCAAACCCCAAACCCCAAACCCCAAACCCTAAACCCTAAACCCTAAACCCTTAGGTAAACAGGGTCCCAACTGTTCCATCTCAACAGCTTCAGCCTCCCCCCGAAGTAGCTCCTGGGTCTGGGCCCAGAGATGCAGCGGCGTGAGAGCCAGGGTGCAATCTGCAGGTGACTGCTTAGGGTTTAGGGTTTAGGGTTTAGGGTTTAGGGTTTAGGGGGTCCGTTTAGGGTTTAGGGTTTAGGGTTTAGGGTTTAGGCAGGTCGAAGGCTGCCGGTTTGAAAACCGCGGACCCCAGATTTCGTACTTGTCGTATCTCCTTTGTTAGCTCCATGTTGGGAGATCATGGGGTCCTGTCCTAAGATTGTGGCTTCGACCCTTAAGAAATCCCCGAAAGGCCTCAAAAGCCCTCAGTTTGCTGGGGTTGGCCTGAGCCCACCACCCGAAGTCCCTGAAAGCGACAACAGGGCCCTGGCATCAGAAAGAGGTGTTAAGGCATATCCCTGCGAGCTGTCCCGAAAGAACGGGACTCACGGTACAAGGCCCCGAACAAGCCACCCCTCCCATCTGAGGCCAGAGTGGTTGTCCCACGACCCAGAGGTCTTCTATGGCTTCTGGGGCGCATGCCGCGCCCGCGAGCTTCCTCAAGGGCTTGGGGGGTTCAGCTCAGGCTAATAAGCCCCCAAGCTTAAGCTGAGAGCTTCCTTATTCTCCTGAAGCCGCCAGAGTTTTTCCCAGGGCCATGTGGGTACTTCCCAAACTAGGGGTACCCCTTTTTATACCCCCAAATAGAATAGAATGCCCTTAAAGGGACCCCCCCAAAAGGGCACCCGCAGACATGAGCTTCACTGGGCCACTGGACCCCAGCCAGTTGAACGCAAAAGTTTCCAGACCCACAGCCCCTTTACGGTTAAGGGTTTAGGGTTTAGGGTTTAGGTTTAGGGTTTAGGGGACACTCCTCACTGTTCCAGCGTCCGGTGGGTTGGCGGGGGTTGAAGGTTCGTGGTTTGGGGTCAAGGCAAGGGAGGATTGAGTTTTTTTTGCTTCGCAGCTCCTTCAGCGGATGATTTGAGCCTAGACAGCCCAACTCTTCATGGACCCAGGTTCACGCACTTCAGTCCACCCCTGAGTACTCCAGACACCCCGCGCGGCGGAAGTTGTAGTCTCACATCTTGTCTTTGAGTCGTATATCATGAGGAAGCCTCCATTCGAGTGCCCCCCCTCCCTGTGTTCGTATCCAAACTCAGCCTCTCCCAGCCCTCCTCTTCTCTTTGCTAGCAGCATGTCTGGCCATGGCGTGCGCAGCGCGCGGTTGCGCTGAGCTTCTGAGAGCCGCGCAGGATGGACCCTCTCACGGCCCTGCGCAAGCAGACCGAGGCCAAGCAGGCCGAGGCGCCTGCAAGCGCGGTGCCCGTGGCGGCAGCGGTGCCGCTGCCCGCCGGCTACGCAGCCCCTGCGGCCGTGGCCACGGCCGTGGCCACGGCCGTCTCCGCGCCCGTGGCGGCTGTGGCAGCTGCAAGCCCGGCCCCTGCGGCCCCCCCAGCCGCTGTGGCAGCTGGAGTAGCTGGAGCAGGGGGAGCTGGGGGTGCGGTGTCCTCCAGGCCCACCTTTGAGGGCGCCCTGGCTGGGGAGCAGGTGGTCGAGCAGGTGAAATCCTGCAGCCTCCTGGTGCAGAACCCCTTCTGCGAGGTCGTCGGCCGGCTGCAGATGACGCCGTACCGCCTGAAGTTCATGATCCCCAAGGGAAGCCTCAGGAGCGGGAGCCGAAGGGCCTGCTTCAAACGCAACCCCAACTCCCTAAACAAGATTCTTGTGGGTTTAGGGTTTAGGGTTTAGGGTTGAGGGTGTTTTTATTTGTTGGGGGTGTGGGGTTTGGCAGGCCTAGTGCAGGGCTTTGGGGACTAGGACGGAAGTTCCGAAGCACAAGGAAGGCAAGGTACTCTAAGCAAGGAAACCGTGAACTCGAAGCCCTAAACCCTAAAACCTGAACTTAAGTCCTAAACCCTGAACCCTAAATCCTAAATCCTAAACCCTAAACCCCGAAAGGTCAAACCCCAAAGCCCAAACCCTGAGCGTTCAAGCTCGTCACGTCTCAGCCTCAAGCCTGCAACGTCACCTGTATATGGGGTTTACGATATTAGGGACCCCGAATAGACACCCCGAAATAGCCTAAGATCCTAAACCCTAAGCCCCAAACCCTAAAACCCCTACATGAACCCGAGCCCCCCAAAACACGAGGAAGGAGCTGCAGTGGATGCGCGCCGCCAAGTACTTCGACGTGCCCTTTGGCGCGGTGGAAAGCGCCAAGGCGTCCCCTTCCCCCCCCGCTGCTTTTTGCTGTTTAGGGTTTAGGGTATAGGGTTGTTGGTTTAGGGTTTAGGGTTTAGGGTTTAGGGTTTAGGGTTTAGGGTTTAGGGTTTAGGGTTTAGGGTTTTTGAAGTGGCTTCATGGTTGGGATGTTCCCTCTTACACTAACACTCTTTGATAGGGACTACAGCAGGAGGCACGATGATCCCCAGCAAGGACTGTTAGTATAAGGGGGAACATCCCAAGTTTAGGGTTTTAGGGTTGTTGAAGTGGTCTCAGAGGCCTCTGGGCCTCTGGGCCCCTAAACCCTAAACCCTAAACCCTAAACCCTAAACCCTAAACCCTAAACCCTAAACCCTAAACCCTAAACCCTAAACCCTAAACCCTAAACCCTAAATCCTCCCGAGCCCTAAGCCCTGAGTCTCCAAGCCCCAAAGATCCACCTTGGAGGTCGGCCTCGCGGGCAATTTTGTTCGCCCTGAACCCTAAACCCTAAACCCTAAACCCTAAACCCTAAACCCTAAACCCTAAACCCTAAACCCTGAGCCCTAAACCCCATCAGGGTTTAGGATCTCAGGCTTGAAGGCCTCCCAACAGCACCCCGCCCACAACACAGATGCACCCCCTGTGGCATGTTTCTCTAGCTGCCCTCGTTTGTGGGTTTAGGGCTGTAGGCTTTCGGGTTTAGGGGCTTAGGGTCCAGGGCTGTAGGCTTTCGGGTTTGGGGTTTAGGGTTCAGTGCTTAGGGTTCAGGGCTTAGGGTTTAGGGCTTAGGGTTCAGGGCGTAGGTTATAAACCCTAAGCCGGAAGCTCTGCCTCTAAGACTGCGCGCCCTTCTCCACCCTCTCGAAGCCCCCGCTCGGCCGCCCGACGCGAGGAGGAGACTTCGACGTCGACGGCCGGGCAGACGGTGTACAAGCTCACCGTCGCTACGAAGGTCTATATCCCCCCTTTTTTTCACTCAAATTTTTGTTCATAAAGCCCAAGAGGATATGTAAAATTAATTTTTTATTAAGGTTCTAAGGGGAGTATAGAGGTGCGAGATCGCGCTGGCTGAGGGTTTGCGCACGGGCTGAGTTGTTGTCTTGTTCTATATATACAAATTTATTTTCCCATGTAGTACAGTTATTGTCAGGCAAATTCGAGTTTCGGGGTTTAGGGTCGAGGGTTGAAGGTACATAGGGGCGAGCCCCACCAAAACAGAACCTTATACCCACGATACACCTTTCGAAGAAAAAGGGGTGTTTCCATACATAGGGGAGCCCGTCTATACCCCGCCAAAGTCTTGATTGTAGGAAACGTATGCCTTTCTCAAAAGCCCCGAATAGGCCCCCCATACCCCAAACCCCAAACCCCAAACCCCAAAAAACCCTAAACCCTAAACCCTAAACCCCAAACCCCAAACCCTAAACCCTAAACCTTATAAACCCTAGAAGGACCTTCGAGTGCTGTGCTTCCTCATGCCGACGGATTCCGAGCGGCCGGCTTGCACAGCGGTCAAGCCACACACCTAAATAACCAGACCTTCTCTGTTTAGGGTTTAGGGTTTAGGGTTTAGGGTTTAGGGTTTAGGGTTTAGGGTTAGCTCCTAAGCCCCACACCCTAGGCACAAAAAAACCCTCAAGCCCGACCTGAAGTCCTTTTCCCAAACAAAGCCCAATGAAACCCCTCAAAATCCGAAACCATAAAAGCCCCAAAGCCCTAAAGCCCCAAACCCTAAACCTTGAACCCCAAACCCCAAACCTTGAACCCCAAACCCCAAACCCCAAACCCCAAACCCCAAACCCCAAACCCCAAACCCCAAACCCCAAACCCTAAACCCTAATCCCTAAGCCCTAAACCCTAAACCTCCCCAAAATCCCGAACCTCCCAGGATGCGCCTGGTCTCGGACGCCGTGGCGGCCTTCGGCTGCCCCGGTGCCAGCAGCCGCAGTATGTCTGACATCCCTAAACCCTAAACCCTAAACCCTAAACCCTAAACCCTAAACCCTAAACCCTAACGCTAAACGCTAAACCCTAAACCCTAAACCCTAAACCCTAAACCCTAAACCCTAAACCCTAAACCCTAAACCCTAAACCCTACATGCCCTAACCTCTAAACTCCCTAAGCCCTAACCCGTAGAACCCTAAACCTTTAGGTTCTGTAGGGACGCGTTTTTGGAGGATGTTTTCGGATTCTTTCGCCGACGCGTACGCACCAAGCAATTCCATGCTTCTGTCGCTCCAAGATAGGCCTGATTTAGGGTCTAGGGTTTAGGGTTTCTCTTGCGGAATGGTTCTTGGTGTCGACACGATTTGCACCCTAAACCCTCAGGCCTAAACCCAATAGCCCTGCAAGCGGTTCTAAAGTCTAAACCCGAAACCCTTCGACCGCTAAGGCAATCCGGCCATGCTCTTCGCCTCGAAGCATTTCGAGAGCCTCAAAAAGGCGGGGACAGTGGAGGCCAGGTGGACTGGTTTAGGGTTGAGGGTTTAGGGTTTAGGGTTGAGGGTTGAGGGTTGAGGGTTTAGGGTTAAGTACCCATGAACCTCCAAGCAGCCCCAGAAACCCTAAAGCCATGGGTTCAGTTTAGGGGATTGGGGGTCAGGGGAAGCCAATGCTCCTTAAAGAGCACTCCGTTTTTGTTATGATTATTATTTTTTTTTTTTTGGGGGGGGGGGGGGGGTTGGTTAGGGTTTAAGGTTTAGGGTTTAGGGTTTAGGGTTTAGGATTTGGGGGTTTAGGGTTTACGGTTTAGGGGCTTAGGGTTTAGGGTTTAGGTTTTAGGGTTTAGACTTCACCCAATCACCTGCAGGCTAGTAGCCCTTGCCCTTACACATATAGGGAGTAAGGGTCGGAATGTCCGCGGAATGGCCGCCAACAAGCCTGGCAACTTTTTTTGGGGACTTAAAAGGTTGCTTGCGAACTGGGTTTAGCCAGGGGCTTTTGGGGTTCGCGGGTTCGGGGTTCGGGGGTTTGGGCTTAGCCGTAAGCCCTGAACCCTAAACCCTAAAGCCTAGACCCCAAACCCTAAATGGTTTAGGCTGCAAGCCCCAGCGGGTCGCGCGTGAAGGCCCCTGACAGCGGCTGGTGCTTCTACGACCCTATCCAGGACAGAGCTGGGCACCAATCTGGACGACATCTCTAGGATCTTTCCTGAGTTCTTAGTTGTGGAGCGCCTTCTAAGCCCTCGGCCCCCAGCCTTAAGCCTCTGAAACTTCAAGCCCTACATCTAAACGGATGTACTAACACAATCTCTTTGTGTGGGTTTCAGCGGAACTCGGAATGGTATTTCTCGCCCTTGGTCTGGGGTTTTACTTAGCCATGTTCCTCGCTCGGATCTCCTGGCCCGTGTCTTTGGAAGCCCACAAAGTATTTCTCACGCCTCTCCCGTGCCGGTGATCGTTGGAGTTCCACATCCTGATCCCAGCCGTGCCCACCAGTATCCCGAGGTGTTTGTGTTGAGTGCCCCGCCCCAGAAAATGACCGTCTCGGTCAGTACCCTAAACCCTAAACCCTAAACCCTAAACCCCAAACCCCAAACCCTAAACCCTAAACCCTAAACCCTAAACCCTAAACCCTAAACCCTAAACCCTAAACCCTAAACCCTAAACCCTAAACCCTAAACCCTAAACCCTAAACCCTAAACCCTAAACCCTAACCCTAAACCCTAAACCCAGGCGGTGTAGGGTTCCGGGTTTCGGGTTCAGGGTTCAGGGTTCAGGGCAAACCCCCCCCCGCAATTCCCCCAAGCCCGGGGGTGGGCCCAGTTTCGAGGACTTTGCCCGCATGGGCATCGACACCGAGCTGATTCCGAACCCGCAGCTGCATGCCTGGCATGAACGCCCTGCACACTGAAGCCCTGGAAACCCTCAAAGCCCCCCCGAAGCCTAGGGGTTCTTGGGAATAATTGTTTTAAAATTCTTGGGTACTGTATTTCCTAAGAAGCTGGGAATAATTGCTAAATTTGTTGGGTACTGTATTTCCTAAGAAGAGCAGCTAAAGTTTATACAATTGTTGCTAGGGTTCCAAGTTCAGCATAGCAAGCCCTGGAGCCCTCAAAGCTCCAAACGGGTTTAGGGTTTAGGGTTTAGGGGCTCTCCTGCATGACACAGATGACTCAAAGCGGCCGAACAAAGGAGCCGGGCCCTACGTCTTGAGGGACTGACTGAATCCGTCCCCATGGCCCCAAAGCACCCACAGCAGCATCCTCTTCAAGGATTTTGTGCTTGATTTTGGGGGCTTGCTGCTTTAGGGCTTTGAAAGGGGGACATACCACACTGGGTCGAGGTCATGAGAGCCCCCTGGACCCTAAACCCTAAACCCTAAACCCTAAACCCTAAACCCTAAACCCTAAACCCTAAACCCTAAACCCTAAACCCTAAACCCTAAACCCTAAACCCTAAACCCTAAACCCTCAACCCTCAACCCTAAACCCTAAAGCCTAAACCCTAAACCCTAAACCCTAGGTGTCCCTGGCGCGTGTCGGAGTTGAACCGCCAGTACCGGCTCTGAGCCTCGGCCTCCACCTTCACGGGAGCCGGCATCGTCTAAGGGTTTTGGTGTTTAGGGTTTAGGGTTTAGAGTTACCCCCGCCCTGTCCAATGGGGGGCCCCCCCCCCCCTCCCACCGCAATAAGGAAGGCAGGGTTCCGCAATAATTGGACCATGGCCCTGCATTGATTCTCTATTAAAGACAATAGGCTGCAGATCCCTGAGGTGCTGTAGCTTCGCATCTCCGCAAGCAAAACAAGAAGCCTGCCGACAGATTTTTGAACCCCCCCAAAAAAAGTTCCTTTAAATGTGGGGGGTTTGTCCCATACGAAATCCACCCTGAACAGGGATTAAGTTGTGAGGAGGACTTCTATGATTCAGTTCTTTGGGTGAGGGATCCCCACCCCCTTAGTAACGTAACGTTTTTTTTTCTCTTAGGGGGTACAGCAGCTTCTCTTCCTAACAGAGGTAAGAGTTACCATCAGGACGGAGGAGCACTCAAACAAGCGGGAGTTGATCTCATCTTGTTTGGCACCCTTTTGTGTGGTACCCTAAGCTGAAAGGGATACATTGGGATGTTCCTCCTTATACTAGCAGTCCTTAACAGGGATTATAGTACCCCTTGCTACAATCCCGATGCAGGGCTGCTATTAGAAGGGGAAACCAGAAACTCTAAAAGGTTTCAGGGGTTAGGGCGCAGGTTTGGGTTTTTGGGGTGTTGGGTTTGGGAGTCCTTCCGCAGAGTCCGGGTTTAAGGCTTTCGGGTTACCCTAAACCCTAGACCCTAAACCGTAAACCCTAAACCCCAAACCCCAAACCCCAAACCCTAAACCCTAAACCCAAACCCTAGACTTTAAACCCTAAGCCCCGTTTGGAAAGGAACGGACGAGGATGGGGTAGGCCTGCGCAGCCCAGGCGGCTCGTATCCGTCCGTGCTGGTCTTGCCTCGGCGAATGCCCGACCAGGCTCGGGGGATGGGTTTAGGGTTTAGGGTTTGGGGTTTGGGGTTTGGAGTTTGGGGTTTGGGGTTTAGGGTTTAGGCTGAGAACAGAAAGCAAGAACACTTTGGCGCTTGACGTTGGCCACGTGCTTCGTGGCCTCGGTTTTCCTTTTGGGGCTCAGGGGAAAGGTTTTTGGGGCACCCGAAAGCCTATAGCACCTAAACCCTAAGGCCCTGAAACCCTACTAACGCCCAAACCCCAAACGCCAAACCCTAAACCCTAAACCCTAAACCCTAAACCCTAAACCCTAAACCCTAAACCCTAAAGCCTAAAGCCTAAAGCCTAAAGCCTCTGTCGCCTCAACGAACAGGCGCTGAGGGAGGTGGCCGGCTTCCGCAAGAGGGGCCGCCTGCCAGCCTTGAGCTGGTGTGGCCGCTTGGGACGACGAGCTATAGGGTTTAGGGTTTAGGGCTAGGGTTTAGGGTTCCGGGCTTAGGGTTTAGTGTGTAGGGTTTAGGGTTTAGGGTTTAGGGTCTTGAAGGCTTCGTGTTGTTTTTTTTTTTGGGGGGGGGGGGGTTGTTTTTTGGATGTGGATGGGGTTTTTCGGCCTTGATTTTCTTGGGGTTGCTTTCTTGGATGCTAGTGTCGTTTTTAGGAAGTGACCCCCAAAACCCAAAACCCAAAACCCAAAACCCAAAACCCAAAACCCTAAACCCTAAACCCTAAACCCTAAACCCTAAACCCTAAACCCTAAACCCTAAACCCTAAACCCTAAACCCTAAACACCAAAAACCCTAACCCCCGCGCAACAGAGGCGGCCCAGAGCTCGGCTTCGCATCGCTCTGGCGCTGCTCGCAGACCACCGAAGGCTTCCAAAGGGGTTTAGGGTTTAGGGTTTAGGGTTTAGGGTTTAGGGTTTAGGGTTTAGGGTGACAGAGGCTTCGGGGTTTAGGGTTAGGGTTCGGGTTTTAGGTTTTAGGGTTTAGGGTTTAGGGTTTAGGGTGACAGAGGCTTCGGGGTTTAGGGTAAGGGTTCGGGTTTTAGGTTTTAGGGTTTAGGGTGTAGGGTTTAGGGGGTTGCTTGGACTTGGGGGGCTCATAAGTGCGGTTCTAAACGCAAGCAGGTAGGGGCCCTCCCGAAGAAAACTCGCCGGGCTGTGGAGAAGAGCCCTGGGCACAACTTAAGAAGCCAAGAGTCGCCCCCTTAGAAGCCTTAAAAATTCCGACTGGGGTTTAGGGTTCGGTTTCGGGTTCAGGGTTCAGGGTTCAGGGTTCAGGGTTCAGGGTTCAGGGTTCAGGGTTTAGGGTTTAGGGTTTAGGGTTTAGGGTTTAGGGTTTAGGGGATAAAGCAAACCCTAAGCCCAAAATGCGCTCTGGGAGGCCTCGTGGGCCAGAAGTGCATCGAGGACCAGGCGATACCCTAAACCCTAAACCCTAAACCCTAAACCCTAAACCCTAAACCCTAAACCCTAAACCCTAAACCCTAAACCCTAAACCCTAAACCCTAAACCCTGCACCCCCCAATCCTGAAGCCTAAGCCCTAAACCCTAAACCCTAAACCCTAAACCCTAAACCCTAAACCCTAAACCCTAAACCCTAAACCCTAAACCCTAAACCCTAAACCCTAAACCCTAAACCCTAAACCTGCATGATACCCGCTCCGCCCTTAAGCACCCTTTGAGGCGATGCTCAACGCCATCCGCATTGGGGCCGGGCCCAAGGAGTCCAAGGAGAGTTTCGGGTTTAGGGTTTAGGGTTTAGGGTTCTAAAAAGCCTCACAAAAACCTGCCAGGGGGCTTTATGTTCGGGTTTTTGAGGGCTTTTGTTCATTTTCTGTTAAAGGCCAAACAGTCTGCAAGCTGCCGGGCCGTTTTTAGGGGTCCTGTAGGGTTTTCGTTAGGTTTTTTTTTGTTTTTTTTTTATTGGTATTTTTTTTTGTTTGAGTGTTTGCTTGTCTTTTTGTGCCAGGGTTGTTTAAGGGATTGTTTGGGGTTTCTCTAGGTTTCTTTTCGGTTTTCTTTGTTTTTTCTTTAGGGTCGGTTTAAGGGTTGTAAGGTTGAGGTTAGGTCCACAATGGAAGGGAGAACAAGTATGTGGTTGGGCTGGTTTGGTGCACGGGGGCATGACCTTCAGGGCCTTTAAACGCTTTTTTCGGGAGTTTGTAGGGTTCTCAGGGCTTGGACAGGGCTTTCTGGGGGTGCTGTGTCAGGGCTTCTTAGGGGTTTAAAGGATTTTGAAGGGCTTCTTTCAGTTATAGGGTTCTTAAGGGAGGGGGGTTCATGGGGGGTAGGCACCTAGGGAACCTTGAAGAACCCGCCTCCCCTACTCCCGTGGCACGGAGCCCTGCCACCTGTCTGGGACCCGCCCGGCTCTCTCTGAAACGCCCTGACACGAGACAACCTGGGACGGAAGAAGTTTTTGGAAGTGGGCAGTTGGCTTGAGTTTAGGCCTAAACCCTAAAAGGAATAGGTTGGGGAGGTTTTGCCGCCTGAGACGGCGTGGGAGAAAGGTCTTAGGGTGGCCCTCCACGATCGGGCCATGGCCGCCCTTCGCATACTGAAAACCGTCACATTTAGAGCTTGTACGCCATCCCCTAAACCCGAAACCCTAAACCCTAAACCCTAATCCCAAACCCTAAACGGCCCTAAGCCCTAAACCCGAAACCCTCAACCCTAAACCCTAAACCCTAAACCCTAAACCCTAAACCCTAAACCCTAAACCCTAAACCCTAAACCCTAAGCCCTAAGCCCTAAGCCCTAAACCCTAAACCCTCCCTCCCCTTAAGATCCCTATAGTTCAGAGTCGTGGAGAGAGGACCGGCTCCTGCTGATCGACCTCCGGCCTCGGATGAATGCCTGGGTCAACAAGGCTCCCCGGAATTCGAGGGGAGGGTTTCGGGGGTTTAGGGGTTTAGGGTTTAGGGTTTAGGGTTTGGGGCTTAGGGTTGAACATCGCGACGCTGCAGTGCTCCATGCCCCGTACTTGGGGCTGGAGGACGGTCGCGAACCATCCGGTGCAGATTCTGGTACCGAGATTGAGAAGTTGGAATAGCATCAGAGGTTCTTGCTGTACTGGAAGAAACCCTTGGAAAACTCCGGCGACGGTCACAGAATGTCGTCTCGCGGTGCCTGCGAAGCGTGGGGGTAGTTGACACCTCTGGGTGTTGAGAGGCTGCTCCAAGCTTCACCTGATCAAGTACTGGGTTTCGGGTTCATAAGCATCGACTGGGCCGGGGGCCCTAACACCAAAGCCCCAAACCCCAAACCCTAGACCCTAAAGAAAGGGGGGGGGAGTTGTTGTTGCCATTCTGACCGGGGAGTTCGCGGGCTCTGGCGGAGGGGGGTTGCAGGCAGTCAACAAACGCAACCTTCTCGAAGACAGGCCTTGTCGTGTTATCCAACAGGTTACTTGTACTGAGGCGACCCATGTCGTCTTGTTTTTCTATAAGCATCCTGAAACCGAGCTTTTCCGGGCTTTAGGGTAGGTTTTGGTTGGGGGCAGCTCTTCCAAGTTCAAGGGGCTGTCTGGGCGTGGAAGGGTTGAAGATGTTGAAGGGTTCTTTCTACTCGAGTCGGCAATTTCCTGAGCGTTTAAGGTTTTCAGCTTTCCTCAGGTTTCCTCAGCGTTTTCAGTACTTTCCGCCCACCTCAACAACACGGAACCGTCAAACCTCCGACACACTGCCGTAGAAATTTTGGCACGTAGGGCTTAGGGTTTAGGATTTTGGGGTTTGGGGTTTAAAACTGTTAAACCCTAAGCCCTAAGCCCTAAGCCCTAAACCCTAAACCTAAACCCTAAACCCTAAACCCCAAACCAGCAGGCGGGTGGTGGGGGCTTCGAGGCCTACGACGACTGCCGGGTCATCTTCGGAGGCGGCTCTGCTATGCTAAGCCCCTTCTTAGGGTTTAGGGTTTCGGGTTTTAGGGTTTAAGGTTTAGGGTTTAGGGTTTAGGGTTTCGGGTTTTAGGGTTTAAGGTTTAGGGTTTAGGGTGTAGGGTTTAGGGTTTGGGGGGAGTTTCAGGATCTATGACCCCCGCAAGAGGCTGACGGCCCATCAGGGACCTCAGAAGGGACCATGGGAGAGGCAAGCTCATCATCTACCTTCTCAAGCCCTAAACCCTAAACCCTAAACCCTAAACCCTAACCCTAAACCCTAAACCCTAAACCCTAAACCCTACACCCTACACCCTAAACCCGAAACCCGAAGCCCTTTAGGAAGCTTCGGGTTTACCCCCCGAGTTAGACAAGCCCAGCTTTGCTGCAAGGGATCGACAACATCCACGCCGTGCGCGACGCCTGGCGCGGCATGGCAACAGCGGTGCCTCGCAGCCCTTGCAGGGTTTTTTTGGGAGGCCAATCTTACCCTAAACCCTAAACCCTAAACCCTAAACCCGAAACCCTAAACTCTCAACTTTATTAGGGTTTAGGGCTTTTAGGGTTTGGGGGGGTTTAGGGGGTTTAGGAGGTTCTGGGGGTTTGCAGGGTTTAGGGGGTGGGGGTATCTTGGGGTTGAGGGTGCAAAGCCCGAAAGACCGCAACTCCACGAAGCCCCAGGAGCCCCAAACCCGAAGAAACACTCCAACCCCCCCTTCCCCCGCCCCCCAAACCCCCCCAAACCCCCAAACCCCAAACTCGTAAACCCCCCTAAACCCCCCAAACCCCTAAAGCCCGCAGCCCTGAACCCACATAACCCTGCACGGCTGGTTCTGAGTAAGGGATTCTACAGCTTTAGGGGATTGTCTAGGGCCCTCTTTGTATACCCTTTAAGGGGTTATGTAGGGCCGTCTATATACCCTTTAAGGGATTCTACAGGGCCTTACCTCCCTCAGTCCTTGCAAAGAAGCAGAAACTGCGAAGCCCAAAAAGGTGCGCAACGTCGTCGAAGGCCAGGTCGGCTCCTGGTTCAAGGCCGGGCATTTTTTCTTCACTTAGGGTTTAGGGTTTAGGGTTTAGGGTTTAGGGTTTAGGGTTTAGGGTTTAGGGTTTAGGGTTTAGGGGTGTTTACTCCCTAGACCCTTAAACCCTGCGAGCCTAGAACCGCCCGAGCGGATTCCGCTCTCTGTGCCCCCCAACCAACCCAACCAACCCAACCAACCCAACCAACCTTAAACCCCCAACCCCCAACCCCAAACCCCAAACCCCAAACCCCAAACCCCAAACCCCAAACCCCAAACCCCAAACCTAAACCCTAAACCCGAAACCCTAAACCCTAAACCCTAAACCCCAAACCTAAACCCTAAACCCTAAACCCTAAACCCTAAACCCTAAACCCCTACATCCCCAAAGCCCCTTCTGGGGGCGTAAGCCCCCCCCCCCCCCCTGTGAGCCCCCAATCGGAGTCGCGGCAGGATGTGGCGAACTCCGGGTGGTACGACTACATCGGCGCCATCCTCGGCTCCACGCTGAAGGTGCCTAGGATGGTGGGTGGGTGGGTGGGGCTTTGGTTTGGGGTCTAGGGTCTAGGGTCTAGGGTCTAGGGTCTAGGGTCTAGGGTCTAGGGTTTAGGGTTTAGGGTTTAGGGTTTAGGGTTTAGGGTTTAGGGTTTAGGGTTTAGGGTTTAGGGTTTAGGGTGTCATTAGAGTTTAGGGCCAGGGCTTTGGGGTTTAGTTTTTCAGGGAGTGCAGACGGCTGATCTTGGTCATGATTCCGGCTCATCTGCAAACGTGACAAAGACACAGGTCCTCAAGTTTCGTATTCAGTCTGCAATCCGAAAAAACACCCACTGCTGCGCTAGGCAGCCGGAAGTTGCCCAAAGTTCCCTATCTCTCACTGGGGTCGAAAAGCCCCAAACCCAAAAGGGCCCATGATTTATGTCAGGCTCCGCATATGGCTGCGGTTCAGTGTAGGCCGAGGATGCAGGGTCCCCCCCCTCCCGCCCCTCTCCCCCACCCAATCTTCACTGACAGTTTAGGCTGCACTGTGGGGCAGAGCCCTGAACCCAAAACCCTCAACTTGCCTGTGCAGGTGGTTGAGGAGATCTTGAACAACAAGGCTTTTTTTGCGGGTTATCATAGCTTTTGACCTGCTTGTGGCGACTTCCACATGTACCTTGAACAGCGCAGCTACTGGAAGCACGTTCCCCACTTATTGACCTACTTAGGGGAATAAGGGGGTTTGTAAGGTTATAATTGGGGTCATAAGTGCCCATGAACCTCCAAGCAAGACTTCACTTGTGTTTCCACTCTTGCTGCAAATGGCCCGACAGCCCTGAAAACATCCATATTTGCATGCTGTAAGCTAGCGGAATACCAACCCTTCCGGCGAGCCTAAAAACTTACACGCCAAACCTGCAAACTGTTGATTGTTGCCGGTGTAGAAAAATCCAGTATCCCCCAGCCCTGAGCCCCAAATCTTTAACAGCCTTCTTGAAAGCCTACACCTTATGAGGCTTACAACCGCCCAAACCCGAACCCTAGGCCCTAAGTCCTAGAACCCACCTCTTGGAGGTTCAAGGGCTCTATGTAAGGTAGGATGGTCATGGTTGTTCTTATATATAAGCAGGGTACTGATGACCCTGCTTATGAACTAACCCCCAAGCCCCAGACCCGAAACTGCTCATGAAAGCTCAAACAAGCAAAACCCTAAACCCTAAACCCCAAACCCCAAACCCTAAACCCTAAACCCCAAAAGCCTAAAGCCTAAAGCCTAAACCCTAAAGCCTAAACCCTAAACCCTTCAACGCAGACAAGAATGGCCGGGCAGGCCAGCGTCGTCATCCACTGCTCTGACGGCTGGGACCGCACCGCGCAGGCTTCTCGGGCCCGTTTCTCTAAAAGGCCGCAGCCCTTTAAACCCCTAACTAACCCTAAACCCTTAAACCCTAAGCCCTAAGCCCTAAACCCTAAACCCTGAACCCTGAACCCTGAACCCTAAACCCTAAACCCTAAACCCTAAACCCTAAACCCTAAACCCTAAACCCTAAACCCTAAACCCTAAACCCTAAACCCTAAACCCTAAACCCTAAACCCTAAACCCTAAACCCTAAACCCTAAACCCTAAACCCTAAACCCTTACCTTTAAACCCCTAACTACTATTTGCTTAAGAACCACCAAAAAAAGAAAAAAACAATCCCCTTTCCCCTTATGGGGAAAAATAGTTTTAGTTTTGGGGGGTTCTTAAGCAAGCAGTAGCTAAGGGTTAAACCCTGAAACCCAGAAACTTCAAAACGCTTAAACCCGAAACCCCTAATTCACCCTCAAGGCAATGCATAAACCACAAAAACCCCTAAACCCCTAAACCCCTAAACCCCTAAACCCCTAAACCCCTAAACCCCGGTTTGGGGTTTAGGGTTTGGGGTATTGGATTAAGGGCTTACGGTCTGAGGGCCCTGAGCTGAAATCCAGAAACCCGAAGTCATGAGGCCCCTGGGCCCTACTTGGAGGTTCATGGGTACTTCGAACTCCAATTATAAGTCTACTTATAACCTACTTCGGGGACTTAGGGGGCGTACAAGTGCAGTTATAATTGGGGTTCCAAGTACCCTAAACCCTAAACCCTAAACCCTAAACCCTAAACCCTAAACCCTAAACCCTAAACCCTAAACCCTAAACCCTAAACCCTAAACCCTAAACCCCAAGTAGAACCTCCAAGTATGAGGTGTCGTCCCTGGCCATGCTGTGCCTGGACTCCTACTACCGCACGCAGGAGGGTTTCCTAAAGCTGGTGCAGAAGGACCGTCCGGGGTTGGGATTCAGGGCGCAGGGTTTGGGGTTCAGGGTTGAGGGCTAGGTAGGGTTTAGGGTTTAGGGTTTAGGGTTTAGGGTGTGGGTTTCAGGGCCAGGGGCTTGGGGTTTGGGTTTTCAGGGTTTAGCGCCTGTTTCTTGCGGGCCCCTCCTCAGCCGGCACTGCTTCAGCCCACTTCCCTCGAGAGCTCCCCAGCCCAGCTCTTCTGGTTCTGGCTGGTTCGTAGTCGGGAATGAGGGAATTTGGGCCCTAAGCCCTAAACCCTAAACCCTAAACCCTAAACCCTAAACCCCAAACCCCAAACCCTAAACCCTAAACCCTAAACCCTAAACCCCTAGTGGCCCTCCTTTCCTCGTTCCTACGAAGAACAGGGGCCTCCTGGAACCGCAACCCCAAACCCCAAGACCAGAGACCCCCTTAAACAGCAAGAGCCAGGACAAGTGGCAAGTAATCCTGGGTTTTTTGTATTTTAGGGTTCAGGGTTTAGGGTTTTGGGTTTAGGGCTTAGGGTATGTTTTAAGCTGGCAAAGGCAAAGAGTCAGGTTGGTTTTGAGTGCAAGTCTTGCCAGCTCATGAGCAACCTGCATGATCGCTTCTCACGTTTCTCCATCTTCAGACCGTATATTTAGGGTTTAGGGTTTAGGGTTTAGGGTTTAGGGTTTAGGGTTTAGGGTTTCGGGTTTAGGGTAGCTTCACTTACTTTTTGTTTTCCTGAGGCAGACCGGCCGAGGGGTTTAGGGTTTAGGGTTTAGGGTTTAGGGGTGAACCACCAAGCTGGATGTAGTGCTGAGTCAGAAAAAGCGGATACGTGCGGTGGAGGGCCTCCCGCTATGCGCACCTTTTCGAAACTGAGGCACATGTCGACTCGGTATTCTGGACTTTGCTGCTAGTCTGCGCAGTCACTTCGCATCCTAATTCTTGCAGAGGGAAACTCTGTTGTCCCCTCTTGCTTGGGCAGGGTTCATGTTAAGAACCTGACACACCCGAAGACGTTTAAATCAGCAACAGCCAGATGTAGGATTCCCAGTAGCTACCTGTATTCCCTTTTCAAAAGGCTCTAGGGTTTAGGGGGTTTAGGCTTTAGCCTTTAGCTGCTTTCGGAAGTTTGAGGGTTTGAGGTTTGGAGATTCCCGCTCATGACAGCTGTCTGATCTAGACACGCCTTTGGGATCTGTTGTTTTTCCCCCTGTTGGTGTAAGAGGAGACTGTAATTTCAGGAAGTTTTTTGCGCAGAGGGGTTGAAGTCCTAGTGGGGATTGCTACAAACACATCCTCAGTCTGCACCCCGAACCCTGACCCGGGATTTTTCGGACAGGAGTGGTGCGCCTTTGGGCATCGCTTCCGCACGCGCCTGGCCATCGGTGCCCTGGCTCTCGAGGGGTGTTTAGGGTTTGGGGTTTAGGGTTTAGGGTTTAGGGTTTGGGGTTTAGGGTTTAGGGTTTGGGGTTTAGGGTTTAGGGTTTGGCGTTTAGGGTTTAGGAGGGGACGCCCTAAACTCAGAATTTGCAGCCATGGCCGAACTTGATTATAAATATAATCCTGGAGCCTGAATACCTACAACTATCATCCTTGTACACCTCATACAACTACACATATCATCCTTGAAAAGTTCTTGTGCCACTCTACTTTAAACTACCCAAGACATGTTGAGTCTTCAGCTGGCCGGGGCCAAGCACCCTATGGTGGACAAGACATCGCGGGCAACCTTGACTCTTTACAGCTTTTTGTAGGAACTCTGATATCAACACCCACGCGAATGTCAAAAAAAAACGGTCCTTCTTCTCCTCGTTATGGTGCGAAGCGGTGGAGAACTTGTGATGTCGCGCTGTCTCAGGAGGCTGCAACGTTTACCCCTCCCCGAATCCCTAAGTAAGGGGTTGTTAAAGCTGAGAGTTCGCTTCTTAGCTGTCCTCTTTACAAGTGGTTTAAGTATGGGGGGTACCTATAAGGGACCCAATTAACCCCACCTTCCCAAGCTTTTCGAATCTTTGAAATCTAAACCCGAAACCCTCAACTCTCAACCCTGCGTAGCGTAGCGTTTAGGGTTTCTGCCGCCCACAGGGTTGAGGGTTCAGGGTTGCGGGTTGAAATTTGATTTTGGTGTTGGCTGGGTGTTTGCGTATCCAACCTCAAAAACCTTAAGCCCCAACCCCGATCTTCGTCTGAGGTGAGCAGCCCTCCGCCGAGTACAGCCCGGTTTTCATCCAGTGGTTGGACTGCGTGTCGCTCGGCCATGTGTCTGCCCCAAACCCAAAACCCCAAACCCCAACCCCCCAAACAAAAACCAACCCCTTAAAAACCCCAGGCCCTAAGCCCCTAAAATCCTCAGAGTCCCAAAGCCTGAGGTTGAGAGTTTAAGGATTAAGAGTTTGCCCCTGGTTCTTATTTGGGAATGAGGAAATATGGGCCCTATAACCCTAAACCCTAAACCCTAAACCCTATATGTACCCTTTAAGGGGTTCTATAGGGTTCCTCATTCCCTCTTTCGCTGCGAAGAACCAGCCACTTCAAGGGTTCAAGAGCTTGTCTTCAGGGCTCCAGATTTTCAGGTGCTTTCAGGGTAACCCTAAACCCTAAACCCTAAACCCAAAACCCAAAACCCTAAACCCCAAACCCCAAACCCAGGTTCCAGCTGCAGCAGCAGTTCCCAGACGCCTTTGAGTTCTCGCCGCCGGTGCTGCTTCGGCTGGCGGACGAGGTGCGAGACTTGGGGGGGTTAGGGTTTAGGGTTTAGGGTTTGGGGTTTAGGGCTTAGGGTTTGGGGCTTCGGGTTTGTAGGGTTTGGGGCTTAGGGTGTAGGGTTTGGGGTATGGGGTTGAGGGTTTAGGGTTTTTGATGGCCCAAGTCGCAAGCTTCCGGCGATGTTGGATGTTTGGATTTGCCAAAAACCACGAGCTACTAGACCGAAAGCAGCAACTTGAGACGCGCAACTCGCTGCAGGTTCCGGCAAGCATGCGCCGATGCAGTATAAAAAATGCTTGGCATTTAAGAGGCAAGCCTCCCCTCCCCCCCCAAACCCAAATCCCAAAATAAGAAAAAACACAAACTGTCCAAGAAGAAGCTCCGGGAACAGTTTTGATGTTTCGCCTGGAACCCAAGACCCTAAACCTAAACCCGAAACCCGAAAACCGAAACTTTAAGCCCCAAGCAGGTGTTCAGCAACCGCTATGGGACCTTCTTCTGCGACAACGAGCAGGAGCGGAGGAGAGTGGAGCAGCAGACGCTGTGCCTTTGTGGCAGAGTTTGGTGCCGTGCTTGGAGGTTCGGGGCACTTATAATCCCTTTAGGGTTGAGGGGGTTGGTTTAGGGTTTAGGGTTTAAGGTTTAGGGTTTAGGTTTCTAAGTATATTTATAGCTTATAACCCGAATTATGATTGTACTTTTAAAGCCTAAACCCTAAGCCCTAAACCCTACACCTTAAACCCTAAACCCTAAGCCCCAAACCCCTAAACCCGACACCCTAAACCCAAAACGCTAAGACCCTAGCAGAACCCTAAACCCTAAACCCTAAACGTTCAGTCTTTTGCAGACTCTAGGGAGTCTCCCCCCAGATCCAAACAAACCGCCTTTCGGGCCTCGGACCTTTTCGGGGTCTTAAAAGACAGGGGAGGTTCAGGGAGGGCTAGGTTTAGGGTTTAGGGTTTAGGGTTTAGGGTTTAGGGTTTAGGGTTTAGGGTTTAGGATTTAGGGTTTAGGGTCCAGAGTTTACGGTGCAACCCAAGGTTTCCTAGTACTCGGTACTTCTTAACCAAGTACCAAATTAGGGCACTTAAGGGGCTTATAAGTGGGTGGTTAGTACAGTTATCATTGGTTCATAACTACCCTAAACCCTAAACCCTAAACCCTAAACCCTAAACCCTAAACCCTAAACCCTAAACCCTAAACCCTAAACCCTAAACCCTAAACCCTAAACCCTAAACCTTACACCCTAAACCCTAAACCCTAAACCCTAAACCCTAAACCCTAAACCCTAAACCCTAAACCTTCCAAGCAACCCAAAAAGCCTTGGCTAAATCTGCGCAACCGGGCTTGAGGGTTGTCCGAGCCTCCCCGGCTCCAAGCCCCAAAAACCGGAAGCCTCAAATGTAACCGCAAGCCCTAAACCCTAAACCCTGAACTTTAAACCCTAGACCCTAGACCCTAAACCCTAAACCCTAAACCCTGAACCCTAAACCCTAAACCCTAAACCCTGGACGGCCTCAAACTCATAAGCCCTTGTCGCCCTATTTACCCCCTCAAACCCTACATCCCAAACCCTATACCGATCCTCAGAGTCTCAGGGTTTGGGGTTTAGGGTTGAATTCGGCCCGAAGCCCCAGACCCTGAACCCTGAGCCCTGAACCCTAAACCCTACATCCTAAACCCGAAACCCCAAACCTTAAACCTCCAAACCCTATTGCTTTGCCCCAGGTCCTTGTGGACGGCGCTTCTGCAGGAGCGAGCCGCTTGGCTCCACCTTTTGTATGTGTGCGTGCCGTTTAGGGCGCCAACTAGATCACACTGAAAGAGCTACCCTTGGGATGTTCCCCTTTATACGAACAGTCCTTCATAGGGATTGCAATCCGGGGTACTATAATCACCATTAAGGAAAAGCTACCCCAGCTAGCTTCGACTTCCACAAGCCCTGAAGCCCCCAGAAAGAACTGCTGGTTCGGGACGTGCTTAGCAGAATGCCTCTACTACCATCCTGGGCGCTGTGAGAGCCATTTTGGCTCCAGTTCGTGGATCTCTTTGACTTCCCTCGGCGCTTTTGTTTGTCCCTTTCGCAGCTATGGGGAATTGCAACGCCGCCGGTGTCGCCTCGGATGCAGTAGAGCTGCAGGTGGAAGCTACGCGGAGACACGCGAGCCTCACCTCGCTCCCCCTGCGCACGAACATGAAGTTCGGGTGGCGGCCGGACATGCCGGACCACCGTGACCTCCGTGTGACCTTTGACAAGGTGGATGCGCCCAGCCACATCAAGAAGAAGTCCGAGGGAGAGAAGGAGCTCATTGACCTTCGCCCGATGAACGGCGGCTTCCCCATCTTCGACCAGGGACACCTCGGCAGCTGCACAGCAAACGCTTTGGCAGCAGCCTTCCACTTCACTCTGCACAAGATGACGGTGGAGAACCACAAGGACTTCGCCGACTTCACCCCCAGCCGGCTGTTCATCTACTACAACGAGCGCTTGGTGGAGGGCAGCGTGAACCAAGATGCCGGTGCGATGATCCGTGACGGCATCAAGGTGATGTCCAAGGTTGGCGTTTGCCCGGAGAGCGTCTGGAAGTACGATGATGGCCCCAACTTCTTCAAGCAGCAGCCCGATGACAAGGCCTACGAGACCGCGCAGAAGTGCAGGGTCATGGGCTACGCCCGTGTGGCACAGGACCTGAGCCAGTTCAAAGCGTGCCTGAAGAACGGCTACCCCTTTGTCTTCGGCTTTGCCGTCCTGTCAAGCTTCCAGACAGCGGAGGTTGCCAGGACCGGCAAGATGGTGATGCCCCAGGCGACTGACCAGCAGCTGGGTGGGCACGCTGTGTGCGCCGTGGGCTACGACGACTTCCAGCAGTGCTTCATCGTCCGCAACTCCTGGGGAGAGGGGTGGGGCGACAAGGGCTACTTCTACATGCCGTATGAGTACATGTGCCATCCGGCTCTTGCCTCCGACTTCTGGGCCATCAACTGGGTCGAGGGCTTCAAGAACACCAGCAGCATGTCAGAGGGTGGCAAGCTGCAGGTGCCGAGACATCCGAATGCTGTGTCCCTCCCCTTGCGCACGAACATGAAGTTCGGGTGGCGACCGGACATGCCAGACCACCGCGACCTGCATGTGTCCTTCAACAAGGTGGATGCACCCAGCCACATCAAGAAGAAGACCGAGGGAACGAAGGAGCTCATTGACCTTCGCCCGATGAACGGCGGCTTCCCCATCTTCGATCAGGGACACCTCGGCAGCTGCACAGCAAACGCTTTGGCAGCAGCCTTCCACTTCACGCTGCATAAGATGACCGTGGAGAACCACAAGGACTTCGCCGACTTCACCCCCAGCCGGCTGTTCATCTACTACAACGAGCGCTTGGTGGAGGGCAGCGTGAACCAAGATGCGGGTGCGATGCTCCGTGACGGCATCAAGGTGATGTCCAAGGTTGGCGTTTGCCCGGAGAGCGTCTGGAAGTATGATGACAAGCACGACTTCTTCAAGCAGCAGCCGGATGACAAGTCCTATGAACTTGCGCAGAAGTGCAAGGTTATCGGCTATGCCCGCGTGGCACAGGACCTGAGCCAATTCAAGCTGTGCATCAAGAGCGGCTACCCCTTTGTTTTCGGCTTTGCCGTCCTGTCAAGCTTCCAGACAGCGGAGGTTGCCAGGACCGGCAAGATGGTGATGCCCCAAGCGACTGACCAGCAGCTGGGTGGGCACGCTGTGTGCGCCGTGGGCTACGACGACTTCCAGCAGTGCTTCATCGTCCGCAACTCCTGGGGAGAGGGGTGGGGCGACAAGGGCTACTTCTACATGCCGTACGAGTACATTTGCCACCCCGCCCTTGCCCACGACTTCTGGGCCATCAACTGGGTCGACGGCTTCAAGAATGCGACCACCAAGAAGAAGTGAAGGACAGACAGCTTTTCCTTGACCTTTGGCGTGTACAACAAGGTACAGCCCAGTTGCGCGACCAGTCGGCTATCCCCAGAGGGGTCTGCTGACTGGCCGTAGCCTTTCTGCCATGTGCGGGAATTTAACTGTGTAAGTATGTCTTTGTTTTTGCTTTGTCAGCATTGCTAGGTTCTTAACCCAGATACAGTAATTCACTGCACAGAGAAGAACGCAGTTCCCTTGTGACTCCTCTGTGCAAAAGCCGCTCGCCCAGCTGAGCTCCAAGCCTTCAACGTCCCAACCGCCATGCTTTTGGGGTTTAGGGTTTAGGGTCTAGGGTGCCGACAAGATCACCCTTAAAGACTTAAAGCTGCCCCATCTGGCTTCCAGATGCCCCCCCCCACAAAGATGTGGAGCCCTCCATCTAGATCCCTGAAGCCCCAGAAAGAAGCTGCTGGTTCGGGACGTGCTTGGCAGAATCCTATCACTTTGAGCGCTGTGAGAGCCATTTTGGCTCCAGTTCGTGGATCTCTTTGACTTCCCTCGGCGCTTTTGTTTGTACCTTCGCAGCTATGGGGAATTGCAACGCCACCGGTGTCGCCTCGGATGCAGTGGAGCTGCAGGTGGAAGCTACACGGAGACATCCAGGCCTGACCTCGCTCCCCCTGCGCACGAACATGAAGTTCGGGTGGCGGCCGGACATGCCGGACCACCGTGACCTCCGTGTGACCTTTGACAAGGTGGATGCGCCCAGCCACATCAAGAAGAAGACCGAGGGAGAGAAGGAGCTCATTGACCTTCGCCCCATGAACGGCGGCTTCCCCATCTTCGACCAGGGACACCTCGGCAGCTGCACAGCGAACGCTTTGGCAGCAGCCTTCCACTTCACTCTGCACAAGATGACCGTGGAGAACCACAAGGACTTCGCCGACTTCACCCCCAGCCGGCTGTTCATCTACTACAACGAGCGCTTGGTGGAGGGCAGCGTGAACCAAGATGCGGGTGCGATGATCCGTGACGGCATCAAGGTGATGTCCAAGGTTGGCGTTTGCCCGGAGAGCGTCTGGAAGTACGATGATGGCCCCAACTTCTTCAAGCAGCAGCCCGATGACAAGGCCTACGAGACCGCGCAGAAGTGCAGGGTCATGGGCTACGCCCGTGTGGCACAGGACCTGAGCCAGTTCAAAGCGTGCCTGAAGAACGGCTACCCCTTTGTCTTCGGCTTTGCCGTCCTGTCAAGCTTCCAGACAGCGGAGGTTGCCAGGACCGGCAAGATGGTGATGCCCCAGGCGACTGACCAGCAGCTGGGTGGGCACGCTGTGTGCGCCGTGGGCTACGACGACTTCCAGCAGTGCTTCATCGTCCGCAACTCCTGGGGAGAGGGGTGGGGCGACAAGGGCTACTTCTACATGCCGTATGAGTACATGTGCCATCCGGCTCTTGCCTCCGACTTCTGGGCCATCAACTGGGTCGAGGGCTTCAAGAACACCAGCAGCATGTCAGAGAGTGGCAAGCTGCAGGTGCCGAGACATCCGAATGCTGTGTCCCTCCCCTTGCGCACGAACATGAAGTTCGGGTGGCGACCGGACATGCCAGACCACCGTGACCTTCATGTGTCCTTCAACAAGGTGGATGCACCCAGCCACATCAAGAAGAAGACCGAGGGAACGAAGGAGCTCATTGACCTTCGCCCGATGAACGGCGGCTTCCCCATCTTCGATCAGGGACACCTCGGCAGCTGCACAGCAAACGCTTTGGCAGCAGCCTTCCACTTCACTCTGCACAAGATGACCGTGGAGAACCACAAGGACTTCGCCGACTTCACCCCCAGCCGGCTGTTCATCTACTACAACGAGCGCTTGGTGGAGGGCAGCGTGAACCAAGATGCGGGTGCGATGATCCGTGACGGCATCAAGGTGATGTCCAAGGTTGGCGTTTGCCCGGAGAGCGTCTGGAAGTATGATGATGGCCCTAACTTCTTCAAGCAGCAGCCGGATGACAAGGCCTACGAGACCGCGCAGAAGTGCAGGGTCATGGGCTACGCCCGTGTGGCACAGGACCTGAGCCAGTTCAAAGCGTGCCTGAAGAACGGCTACCCCTTTGTCTTCGGCTTTGCCGTCCTGTCAAGCTTCCAGACAGCGGAGGTTGCCAGGACCGGCAAGATGGTGATGCCCCAGGCGACTGACCAGCAGCTGGGTGGGCACGCTGTGTGCGCCGTGGGCTACGACGACTTCCAGCAGTGCTTCATCGTCCGCAACTCCTGGGGAGAGGGGTGGGGCGACAAGGGCTACTTCTACATGCCGTATGAGTACATGTGCCATCCGGCTCTTGCCTCCGACTTCTGGGCCATCAACTGGGTCGAGGGCTTCAAAAATGCAACCACCAAGAAGTGAAGGACAGACATCATGTCCTTGACTTGGCATGTGCAACAAGGTACAGCCCAGTGGCGCGACCAACCGGCTATCCCCAGAGGGGTCTGCTGGCTGGCCGTAGCCTCCCTGCCATGTGCGGCAAATTTAACCGTGTAGGTATTTCTTTGTTCTTGCTTTGTCAGTATTGCTGGTGGAGCCTAGGTTCCTTAGCAGTGCCAGATAATTCGTTGCACAGAGAAGGACGCCTTTCCCATGTGACTCCTTTGTGCAAAAGCCACCCGCCTAGCTGTATCCAAGCCCAACGGCCATGGTTTCTGAGGGGCGCCGACAAGATCACAGTGTAAGGAGCTCCCCCCCATCTAGCTTCTTCAAAATGCCCCCCCCCCCCCCCCCCACAAGGATGTGGAGACCGCCACCTACATCTCGACCCAATCAGTGTCGTTCCCTAAACGGCCCTAAACCCCAAACGCTAAACCCTAAACCCTAAACCCTAAACCCTAAACCCTAAACCCTCAACCCTAAGCCTTAAACCCTAAACCCTAAACCCTAAACCCTAAACCCTCAACCCTAAGCCTTCAACCCTAAACCTTAAACCCTCAACTCTACCAGACAGAAGCTGCTGGTTCTTGGGCGCCCAGGATGCTTGGCAGAATGCCTCCTACCGCCCCGAGCGCTATCAGATGCTCCCCAGCCTCTGCCAGGCTGGCCTGCCAGGGTTTACTTGAAGGTTCATGGTACCTACTAACCAATTATAACTGTACTTATAACCCTACTTATAAGTTAACCCCTATAAGGCCCTTTAGGGGGTATTATAAGTAGGGTTATAAGTACAGCTATAGTTGGTTAGTAAGTACCATGAACCTCCAAGTAGGGTTTTAGGGGTGTAGGGTTGAGGGTTGAGGGTTGAGGGTTGAGGGTTGAGGGTTGAGGGTTGAGGTTGTTTCAACATCCAACTCTCCAAAGCGAGGCCTGTTCCCTGTTTGTCTTTTCCCCCCAAGGACCCGAAACCTTAAACACACGCCTATCTACTGCGCTGCTGCCGCTAAACCCTGAAGCCTAAACCCTAAACCCTCAACCCTAAACCCTCAACCCTCAACCCTCAACCCTCAACCCTCAACCCTAAACCCTAAACCGTAAACCTCAAACTCTAAACCCTAAACCCTAAACCCAAAATCCTAAACCCTCAACCCTCAACCCTAAACCCTAAACCCTAAGCCTCAAACCCTAAACCTCAAACCCTAAACCCTAAACCCTCAACCCTAAACCCTAAACCCTAAACCCTAAACCTTAACTCTAAACCCTAAACCCTAAACCCAAACCCTAAAGGTTAAACTCTAAACCATAAACCCTAAACCTGAAACCCTAAACCCTTAACCCTAAACCCAAACCCTAAACGCTAAGCTCTAAACCTTAAATCCAAAACCCAAACCCTAAACCCTCAACCCTCAACCCTAAACCCTAAACCCTAAACCCTCAACCCAAGCCCTAAACCCTCAACCCTAAACCCTAAACCCTGCACTTTAAACCCCAAACCTTAAACTCTAAACCCTGAACCCTAAACCCTAAACCCTAAACCCTAAACCCTAAACCTGAACCCTGAACCCTAAACCCAAACCCTAAACCTTAAACCCTAAACCCTAAACCCAAACCCTAAACCCTCAACCCTGAACCCGAGACGCTAAACTCTAAACCCTAACCCCCAAACCCTAAACCCTCAACCCTCAACCCTCAATCCTAAACCCTAAACCTTAAACTCTAAACCCTAAACCCTAAACCCTCAACCCTAAACCTTATACTCTAAACCCTAAACCCTCAACCCTCAACCCTCAACCCTCAACCCTCAACCCTCAACCCTCAACCCTCAACCCTCAACCCTCAACCCTCAACCCTCAACCCTCAACCCTCAACCCTCAACCCTCAACACTCAACCCTCAACCCTCAACCCTCAACCCTCAACCCTCAACCCTCAACCCTCAACCCTCAACCCTCAACCCTAAACCCTAAACCCTCAACCCTCAACCCTCCAGGCCAATTACTCCGTCTGGGAGGTTGCCCGGCTGTTCGCTGCCACAGTGTTGGGACAGCCTTAGGCTTCCAACAAAGGGCGTGTAGGGTTTAGGGTTTAGGGTTTAGGGTTTAGGGTTCAGGGTTTTGGGTTTTGGGTCTCGGTGTTGCGGAAAGGTGCACCCCCCAAAAAAGAACCCCAGGAATCAGTCTGTGCACATGGGGACTTTCCGCAACTGTTGTGGGTTCCCATAGGAGGATTCTGCAAAATTGGGGGGTGGGGGGGGGGGCCGGAGCAACTCCCAAGCCAACGCGCGGTGAGTTGTTCGAGACTTTTTAGGGTTTCTTGGTTTTGCTAGGGTTGCTAGGGTTGTTAGGGTTGTTAGGTTGTTAGGTTGTTAGGGCTTTAAGGTTTTGAGGGTTTAGGAATCTAGGAAGCTTCGCGCGTTATGATAGGGCTCCAGCATCTGTTTAAGGGATGTTCCTTACACATTGCTAGGCCCTAAACCCCAATTGAACCCTCAACCCGAAACCCTAAACCTACCAGGCCTACTGGTTCCGCTTCCACCCGCGTGGCGCTGGGGGTGCGGCCGAGCCGCCCTCACCCACGAAGACGCTTCGGCTCTGAAGGACTTTAGGGAC